CCAGCCGCAAGCTCCGGCCGTTCAACACGGGACAGTATGGGCTACGTGGTTTCCGAGGAAATAAATAGGCCGGCATCAGCTCCGCAGCCACATGACCCCTCCTCACTCCCCCCCAATCCTGCGGAATGGCTTCCCCTTGCATCCTGGAGCGATCCAAATACCCCTGATGTTGGCGACTTGTTCGAGGACGCATGTCTCTTGATGGAAGAAAAGGAGACAAACAAACAAACAGACCTCTATGAGCTTCCCCCTGCCGACAGTACCTCTCTGCTCGCAAGCTATCGAGATTTTATCCTATATGGAGAGCAAGACTGTTTCAATGATCTTAGATCACCGTTCTTCAAGCAGGCCTTTGTAATGCCGGAAGCTCAAGACGACGATGGGTCAATAAGCGACGATGACGGTAAATGTTATTGCGGATTTTGTAAGCCCTTTTGGCAAGATGATGCAGAGCAAGACGAGGATTTGTGGATTGGGGAAAATGGAGAAGTCGCTAGCGCTGCGTGACATAGCCATTCCGCATGAAGTTCATTTATGTATGTCGATCGGTTTATTCTAATATGAACCACTGCTGCTGTGCGGTGTGATATATCGCCTGTGCAGCCGCGGGGGAAAATTGTGGTTGGACTTTTATTGCTTTAGAATTTTGTGATGGGACAGCGTGGCAATCTCGACCTTGACCCACTATTTCTCCCGGCCTCTTCAATTTTGTGGCTATACTATTGATATAAGAAGCGACGGAGAGGAAAAGGAGAACTGCCGTAAATGCGTCTGAAAAGGTTTCAGAATGACTTGCGATAATTTCATAGTAGATAAGTTAATAAAGTTGGTTTTCCGTCAAGTAATTTCGCCAACTGGTACCGATTCCGTATTTCTGCGCTAATGAAATAAGTAATTTACCCTATACGCGACAGGCCCGTCTAATGCCAGTGGCTTGATACTGTACCCTCGCGTTCAGCAGCAGTTGTTTCAACAGCCAAGCTAGGCCTAAAATTTAGACGGTACAAATCCAACACACTGAGGCTGTACTCGCACCATACCGTACGTTTCAGCCTCTTCCAAGCGCCCAAGAACGTCATCCTCGCTGAGGGAGTCACCATTGATTCGTCGATACATTGGAAGCAAAAGGGCTTCATCCACCTCGGCATATTTACCACGCTGCACATGGATAAGCTGCCCGTTCCTTGAGGTGTCAGCCATGAGGTAAGCAGCGCAGCGAGCTACCACCGAGGCAGGCTGCACCTCAACGTTTATCTCATTTAGCAAGCTCTTCAAAGACGGGAGTATATTGCTATCTGTCCAGCTTGGTGCCAAGGTATTGACTCGGATCGGGGTCGGGAGCTGGGCTGCTTCAAGCCGCGCAACAAGAGCTCGCCCAAAACCGAGGACACCGTGCTTAGCCGTAGCTGATACGCACTCTTAGCCAACTGGAAACAGTTCAGGATCGTTTTCATTTGCTTACCATAGTCAACGGCTCGAAAGCGCTGTAA